ACATCCGTGACCAATTTGTCCCTTTTATTGTGAACCTGCTTGTAGTTTTACAATGTGTATATTATTTCATTCATTCAGTTAAAGTCCCCGCACACCTAGACGAGCAATCAACAAAACTGAACTCTCTGTGTTTGTACAGTCTGGTATGATAATACTCCCTCCGTTCCCAAATATTTGTCTTTCTAAAGATTTCAACAAACACTACATAAGGAGCTAAATGAGTGAATCTACACTCTAAAATATGTCTATATACATCCGTATGTTGTAGTTCATTTGAAATGTTTAGAAAGACAAATATTTGGAAACGGAGGGAGTAGGTTACAAATGCCATCATGCATAAACTGTGGACTTACCTGGAGACAAAACTCACATGTTATGACTGGAAAAGAAAAATGAAAGATATAGCATATGTCAGGTCAAAATAACATGGGGAGTAATAGGTTGAATGTGTATACGTCCAATAAGAAAACCATCAGCATCCCACCGTTTCCATGAAAGAACAGATAAAATCAGTAAGAACGGCTAAATATAAAACAGTTGAATTCAGAAAGAAAATTGTAGACACTAGACAGTTATCAAAGACTAGAACTATATCTCTCTTGTTCTCTGAACTCTCTTGTTCTCTCTTCCTCAGCCCTCTTCTCCTACCAATCTGCCATGAATCATGTGAGATCCAGCTCAGGGGCCTCACAAAGTCCACCAAATCCATGGATGAGAGGCATATATCCACCAACAGGAACTCTCTTGAGATGGGGAGGGGCGGGGTGGTGGTGGGGTGGAACGAGGCTGAGGGATTTGGTTTACCTTCTAATCGGTTGCATGAGGAACTCCATCCGGGAATCGCCGCCGCGTTTTCCTTCCGCCGCAGACCTCAGCAGGCGTCAATGGCGCTGTAGGATAACGTGGCCACGGGTGGGAGAGAGCTCCTTCTTCCATCTGACTCGTCATTTACTACGCTGCCCACCGCCCCCTACCGGAGATCCATTACCTGAGCCACGGATCGGGAGTAGAATGCAGACCTGAGCCACGGCTCAGGGAATCTCCCGTCACGGCCCCAACCACGGCCTCCGTCACCGGCGGTTCGTATGCCACAAACCCATACGGTATTCTTTTCTCCCGTGAATTAAAAAAGAAGGAACAGCTGGCGAGAGACAAATCTCGAAGCCCCATCGAGCCGTCCTGATAACGTGAGCACCTGTGCTCGTGACCAGAACAACCGCGTCCGGCATATGCCACTTTTTGAAGGGAAAAAGTGTTTCATATGGTGCGTGATTAGACCGGCGTGGAAATGGACGGATCGCGGGAGCGTCTTCAAAAGAAAGTCAAAATGTATTAATTCATTCTTTTTAGAAAAACTTCTATATTAATTAATTAATTTGACTTTTGTTTTTGTTTTGGTTTACAGAAAGTTAGGTTGGGTTCGAACAAACTGGAGTTTGTTTCACGGTTGGATGCTAATCCGATGGAAAAGGCAAAAAGTGTCTGAGCCGCCCCTAATTTTGGCAGCTGCGAGTACTAAATTTCCAGCGGCTCTCTGTTGTCTCTGCGTGCCACTCACCGCCATTGCTACACTCTTCTCGCTCTACACCTCCGTCAAGGAAGAACATCGCCTCATTATACAGTGCGTCGGGGGTCAAGCCTCGCTCAAATTTAGTCATGGCTACTGCCTCCTTGTCACTCACTCCGTCTCCACGAGGCCAGCATGCTGGGGAGAAGGCGGAGCCGCACTGGTGCCCGGAAGTTGTTCGACGAAATGCCTGTGAGGCCAACACAGGTGCCCAGCCTGGGTGTTATTCAAAGAAATGGCCGTGAGGCCAAGACTGGTTCTCGGGACAGCTAGCCGACGATGTGAGCAAGCCTAGCCAGCCTCCCGCGCCAATCAGGTCAGGTCAGCATGTCGTTCCCCTTCTTGTAAGAATGCTGCCTGCAAGTAATTTTCGATGCTTGCGTTGCTTCTCCCTTTTGTTTTTGCGGATGTTGTTACATACGACTACGACTAGAAACTGGTAGCCATAGAAAAACATGTGATTCCTGGTTTGGTTGGCTGGCAATAAACACATTTGGTTGACTAACAAAACCTTCATTGAGTTGTGATGCACATTTGATTTGTTGACTCAACCTTCTGTGAGTTGTGATGGACATTTGGTTCGATTGACTGACTCAACCTTTGGTGGCTGCTATGTGCTTCTTCGTCGACGGGCTTTTTCATGGGAAGCAGTGGTTGGTGGTCTTGCTGGCGTCCGGTGTGGGTGGCGGCTTTGGATGTTTGGAAGCTTGGGTAAAGACGAGCGATGGCGATGGCTGTGGGCGTTGTTGACCTTCTTGGAGGCCTCGCTGCAAGTGCCCTTTTCCTGTTGACAATAAAAAGACAAACACCATGACCCTCCAATTTCCACCAGCCTCCTGCCCTCAGTTGGCTGGCGATTAATAACCACTCTTCGATAGCGGGCATTGAAGATGGAGCTTGCCATATCTGCAGTAACAGGTGAACTCGTGAGCCGATTCATCTCCTTCCTTGCTGACAAGTACCGCTCGCCCCACCGCGCAGAGTTGGAAGAGAAGCAGTTGAAGAGGCTGCACCAACTTCTGCTGAGAGCCCGCACAGTCGTCGAAGAGGCAGATAGGCGGTACATCACCAACTCTGGTATGTTGGCGCAGCTCAGCATGCTCGCTGACGCCATGTACCGAGGCTACTGGGCACTGGGGGCGTTCGGGTACATGTCGCTCGAAGAGACAGAGACTACTCCCATGGAGGAGGAGGAGGTAGGGGAAGTTCGCAACTCATCTCCTCCCAAACGTCTCCGCATGGTTCGTGGCAGTGCTAGGACGAACAAGTCTATGTACCTTGTAAACTTGCAAGGCGAGGTGGAGAGCTTGGAGGATGCCGTCGCCGGAATGCTGGAGTTCGTTGTTCTTTTGGGTGGGTGCGAACGTATGCTGCGTCGACCATACGACGCATACCTTTACAACAACAACGTCATGTTCGGACGCCACGCTCATAAACAAAAGCTCCTGAACTTCATGCTATGGCACAGCTCAAACTCGCCTGGTGGTGCGCCGGCTGTTCTCCCGGTCATCGGTGCTCCTGCAATCGGGAAGAGGACCCTGGTCGCCCATGTATGCAAGGACCAGAGGGTCAGTTCACACTTCTCTTCGATTCTGCACCTGAATGGAGACTCCTTCCGTGGATTTGCAGATCATGGTAGTCTCATGTCAGGGAGGATACTGGTAGTTGTTGAGCTTGTTTCAGAGGTTGACGAGGTGGATTGGGCCAGGTTCTGTTCAACCGTAGCAACAAGCATGGACAGTGAAAGCAAGGTGATCATCATCAGCCAGCTTAAAAGTTCAGAGCGGCTCGGGACAGTGGAGCCAATCTTCCTCAGCACCCTGTCGTATGAGGAGTTCAGCTACCTTTTCAAGACACTCGCATTCGGGAGCACAAACCCGGCGCAGCACCCGCGGCTGGCACAGATTGCAGACGAACTGGCCTGGGAGTTCCGGACAGGATGGTCGCTCCTCGCCATGAACATGTTCGCGGATGTAATAAGAAGGAATCTGGATGTCCATTTCTGGCTCGGCATGCAGAGCAGGCTGAGAAGATATGTGGAGAGGAACTTGTCCATGTTTGGGGAGCACCCGAGGTTGCTCGTTGAGAGAGGACACCATATAGACTTTACAGACTTTGTCTCGCATCCTACTTCTCCACTCCGCATCCTGCTTTCCAGTACCAGTGGCAGCAGCCGCACTGAAGTTACGGTGGAAAGGGAATTGTTACCGAGGGTGAGGCTTGGGGATCTTGTGATGGATCCTGGAGTTAGGCCACAAGGGGATTTCAATGTGGTTACCTGGGAGTCAAGGTTGCCACCGTACACCTTGTTTGTCCATTTTGTTCCAAATGGAAATGGTGCTCCAGGTGTGTCGGACCAGAGTACTCCCCTGTCTGGGCGGAAGCGTCCAGCAGTGCATTTGTAAGGCCATTTGATTCCGACAATTTCTGCGGGAACTTCGTAGAGTTGGAATCTCAAGTACTCGCTCAGTTTATAGAGATAATATAAATATTGACATGGTCTCGAATACATATCTTTTAATCATGGATTGTTATATTTTATTTTCCTGAAAGTTTTAATGATACCATTTTCATTTGGTAAATCTAAATTACTTTGGATGCATATTTGTAATCAAAGTTAGAAAATATTGAATGCAAGCCTTGTGTATTGATTTGTAGGATCCATGTGTTATAAATACATGACTTCTTGGAATATATCGATTCCTATGTTGTACTATTTATGAACTGTATTTTGTGTGTGAGTAAGATTTTGATTTGTAGGATTGTGTCTCATAGGAATTTTGTCCAAAAAACCGTTTCTATTGCATTTCATACGAAGTTTTTCATTGACCTAAACCTCTTGGAAATAATTCTTTTTTTGGTGTACTTGGTTTCTCATTAACCATTTGGATTGTGTGTCACTTCCTCTGTCTCCCGTAAGGCAGGATGCTGGGGGAAGGTGGCACCGCTCTGGTGCCCAGATGATGTTTGATGAAATGACCATGAGGCCACCAACACCTTCTCGGAAGAGCTGACGATGTGAGCATGCTAGCCTGCCGTGCCACTGAGGTTAGCACATGGTTTTCCTTGTTAGAATTTTGGGTTCTTGCTTTGATTCTCTCTTCTGGTTAGATACGGCTAGAAACTGACAAGTAGGAACAACATACAGAGTTTGTTGCCGGACTTGGTAGCACATATGCTCTCACTTGGTTAGCTGGTAATGAAGGGCGTTTTGTTGGCCGAACTAACCTTTTTGATGGACTTCTACGCACTGGCATTTTCATTTCCTATTCCCATTTTATGCAGGCTGCCACAACAAGCCTCCCTTAAAAGAGAAAAACATGGTCTGATGGTCTAGATTAATTATGGCCCGCCTTTCATTTCACATGCTTCACTGGATGCACAACTCCTAAGGTATCAAAAAATAGTACTGAAACACATTGTTACATAAAAATTAGGCAAATAAACCTGGTCGCTTCTTCCCTGACAAGGATCTTTCAGGCTTGTCATGAACGCAACTTGGCACAGCGTGTACCAAGTGATCAAATGAAGTGTAAGGCGGCAGCCTTGATTCCCATGAAATTAGCCTAAAATCTCCTTTGGGTAAGACAGCGTGACCTGCTGATGCTATTAGGTCCCCAAACATAATCCTAGGTAGACCCTGCTCCTCTGGAACATTAGCCATACCAATAGCAGAGTTTATAATGCCTGATGGAGCAGCAGGAGTTAAAATGTAGCGGCCGATTAGGTGTACCGGTTGGCCTCGACTAAGAAGCACCTGCGGGTGGGCACCAAAACAAGAGATGTTCTTATTGACAGAGTCTCTAGCACCCTTCAACCTGTACAGCCAGAAATGAGCACTCAAGTTTTTCCGCAGTGCATCTGCGAGCACATTCGCTGTGATGAATGACCCTCCCAGCACTGTGGCGAACTCTTCCACCATCGCTGCCAGCCGCGGGTAGTCTGCCGGGTTTGTACTTCCGAATGCGAGTGTCTTGAACAGGTACATGTACTCATCGAATGCTAGGGAGTTCAGAGAAACATGCTTGACGGTTCCAAACTTCTCCAAGCCTGTGCTTTGACCCAAGATGATCACTTTACTTCCTCTGTCCATCTTCATAATTAAATGATAGAATGTTATCCAGTCATCTTCATCTACATCTGAAGCAAACTCAACAACTACTAATATCCTCCCTGACAGTCTTTCATGGTCTTTCATTTTGAAAAGATCATCTCCATTCAGGTGCAAAATCATAGAAAAGTGAGAACGCACTCTATCAACATCGCATACATGGGCGACAAGAGTTTTCTTCCCAACTCCAGCATCACGAATGATTGGAAGCACGGCCGGAGAACCTGGGGTGTTGTGGTGCAGCAAGAACCTGATGATCTGCTGCTTCTCGACATGGCGACCAAACATGAAGTTGTCGATGTAAAGATATGCATCATAGGGTCTACGGGAGATGCGCTCGCATCCGCCCAAAAGGACGACAAACTCTGCCATGTTAGCAACACCAGCCTCTAGGTTTTGCAGAGCTCTTATTAGCTCTGAGTTGAAAACCCTTTGGGCTGCACTACCGACGATTGTGCGAGTACGCTTGTTAGGAGTGGAAGCAGATAGATCGGACGACTCACATACCAATTCCTTGTGTTTCCTGTACTTGATGGTGTCAAGCACATGGTGGCCTTGGTACATGGCTGCCGCCAGGGCCTTCAGCTGTATGAGCATGCAGGAGTTGGTGATGTATCGTGAGTCCGCCTCCTCGACGACCATGCCAACTCTCTGCAAGAGTTGTTGTAGCCTCTCCACCTTATCCTCCGAGCATACGTGATCCATATACTTGCTCATCAGAAAAGAGATGATTCGATTAGCTAGATCCCCTGTGAAAGCTGATATGGCAAGATCCATCTTTAGATTTCTAAAGCTAGGTGGTGTATGAGTGCAAAAAGATGCAGTTTATAAAGACGTATGATACAAAGTCATCGATATACTCTACAGAGTATATGCCACCGATATTCCGGTCAATAAACTCGCCTGGTGCACTGGTCAGCTACAGTATCTCACGTTCACTTTCTAGTCAACCTCCTGAGCCTACGGCAGATGCTGCATCACAGTTCAAAGAACGACTATGACATGCGAGGAAACTTTCTAGTCAAGATGCAGTTTGTCAAGGTATTCTTTGCCATACTTGGTTTTCTAGACTGCCGTCTGCCTAAGGTAATACATTCAATTGTCAATATCTTCATTTCCAACTTGCTTAATTAGTTTCATTTGAAGACGTGTCGAGGAAAAAGGAGTAAATTCCACTTCCTTTTATCTTCTACTAGTTAGGATCTGTGACATTGTTTACCCTATCTGAAAAAGCTTGCCCTTTGTTACCACTAGTAATCTAGTACTTGTGTACTACTATTAGTAAAGGGCATAATTCTTTTGTCACCTGACCTGGTTAGCTTGTAATTTAGGGCATTTGGTTGGCTGAGGCAAACCTTTTCTGATGGACTTTTATGCCCTTGTATTTATATTTCCTATACCTATTTTATGCAGGCCATATTGCCATAACAAGCCTTCTTGAAGAGAGAAGAAGAATAGATAAGGATGACCCTTCTCCTTGTGCTCATGGATGGCAGCTGTTACATGGAAAAAGTTTGCTGGACAAGGAGTTCCCCACTTAGTCCATACTACTGTACTGACTTGCTGAGCAAAGCAAGGACTCCAAAGTCAACATGATTTTTCCATGGTGTATGAAAAGATCAGCTGATGTGCACTTCCAGGGCCACTCTAGATCATTGTGGAATCTTATTTCTTGACAGGCTGGAGGAGGAGTAGTCCATTACCTAACTGATATTTTTCAGCACCTACGGCCATCGACATACAGAACAACAAACACCACCAGCCTGCAATTATTTCCACCGCCTCCTCCTGCCCTCTGTTCGATTCCCTGGTTAGTTAGCACCCTTCGATCGGAGGAACTGAAGATGGAGCTTGCCGTAACTGCAGGCTTGGAAGGGCACAACTCAGCTGTTTTTTGCCACAGCAAGCCTTCCTGAAAAGAGAGGAGCATGGTCAAGGAAAGTTGCTGAGCAAAGCAAATGACTCCCAACCCAAGTCGCCATCATCTTTCCATGGTGCATGAAAAGAACAGCTGAGCTACCCTTCCAGGACATTCTTTCACAAGCTGGAGCCTCGAGGTGGAGTGGTTCACAACGCCACCGGTGATAGATAATTTTCAGCATTGTCCCTTTCCTGTTGGCAATACAAAGTCAGTCTTTGCAACGTCTGGATATTGACACACCAGCAGTCTACATTTTCCACCAGCCTCCTGCCCTCTGCTCTGTTGGATTCCTGGTTAGTTAGTACTCTTCGCTTTCAGGAACTCAAGATGGAGCTTGCCATATCTGCAGTGACAGGTGAACTCGTGAGCCGATTCGTCTCCTACCTCGCCGACAGGTACCACTCGAGCCGGCGTCCACAGCCGGGAGAGAAGCAGCTGAAGAAGCTGCAGCAGCTGCTCCTGAGAGCTCGCACGGTTGTCGAGGAGGCGGATGGGCGATACATAACCAACTCCGGGATGCTAGCGCAGCTCACCATGCTTGCGGACGCCATGTACCGAGGCTACTGGGCACTAGGTGCGTCCAACTACATCTCACTGGAAGAGACCACTACTATGGGAGAGGAGGAGGGGGAGGATCTCAAACCATCTCCTCTCAAACGCCTTCGCACGGTTCATAGTATTGCTAGAAAGAACAGGGCCATGCACCTTCTTGAGCTGGAAGGCACGTTGGAGAGCTTGGAGAATGTCGTCGCCGGCATGATGGAGTTTGTCGTTCTCTTGGGCGGATGCGACCGTATGCTGCATCGACCGTACGATGTGTACCTTTTCAGTGACAAGATCATGTTCGGACGCCACACTGAGAAGCAGAAGCTCCTGAACTTCATGCTGCAGCACGGCCCTGCTGGCGGTGTGCCGGCTGTTCTCCCGATCATCGGCGCTCCAGTGGTTGGAAAGAGGACTCTCGTCGCCCATGTATGCAAGGACGAGAGGGTCCGCTCACACTTTTCTTCGATTCTGCATCTGAATGGAGATTCCTTGGGTAGAATCGCGGAACATGGTGGTCTCATGTCAGGAAATATACTGGTGGTTGTCGAGCTTGTTTCAGACGTCCACGAGGAGGATTGGGCCAAGTTCTGTTCAACAGTAGCAACAAGCATGGATATTGGAAGCAAGGTGATCATCATCAGCCGCCTTAAAAATACAGAGCGACTCGGAACCGTTGAGCCAATCTTCCTCAAAACCCTGTCATACGAGGAGTTCAGCTACCTATTCAAGACACTAGCATTCGGGAGCGCGAACCCGGCACAGCACCCACGGTTAGCGCGGATAGCAGACGAGCTAGCCAGGGAATTCCAATCCGAATGGTCAATCGCCACTGCAAATCTGTTTGCGGACATCATGAGGAGGAACCTCAGCGTCCATTTCTGGCTCTGCATCCTGAGCGGGCTGAGAAGGGTAGTCGAGAGGAACATATCCCTGTTTGGGGAGCACCCAAAGCTCCTCGCCCGGAGACGCCACCAGATAGACGTTACTGACTTGGTCTTGCATCCCATGGATTCTCCACTCCGCCTCATGCCTTTCTGTACCAGTGGCAGCAGCCGCACTGAAGTTACGGTGGAAAGGGAACTGCTACCGAGGGTGAGGTTCGGGGATCTGGTGATGGATCCTGGAGTTAGACCACAAGGGGATTTCAATGTGGTTGCGTGGGAATCAAGATTGCCGCCTTACACCTCGTTTGTTCATTTCGCTACAAGTGGAAATGATGCTCCACGTGTGGCGCAACAGAGTGCTCCCCTGTCTGGGAGGAAGCGTGCAGCGGTGCCTTTGTAAGGCCTTTTGATTCGGACAATTTCGACGGGAATTTTGTAGAGTTGGAATCTCAAGTATTCGCTCAGTTTATAAAGAGATAATTCAAATATTGACATGGTCTCCAATACATATGTCTTTTGATCATGGAATATTATGTTTTTATTTTTTTTGAAAGTTTTAGTGATGCCATTTTCATTCAATCAATATAAATAATTTTGGATATATATTTGTAGTGAAAGTTACAAAATATTGAATGCAAGCCTTCTAGGAAGTCATGTATTTATGACCTGTATTTTGTGTGTGTGTGTACGATGTTTGATTTGTAGGATTTTATCTCATAGGAATTTTATCCAAAGAACCAATTTGTATTGCATTTCATACAAAGTTACTCATTAAATTAGACCTCTTGGAAAAAATTCGTTTTTTGTTGCACCCGGTTTTTCATTAACCATCTGTATAGTTTGTCACTTCCTTTGTCTCTAGTAAGGCAGGATGCGGGGGAAATCAGCTCCGCTCTTGTGCCCGGATGGTGTTCGATGATATGACCGTGAAGCCACAAACACCTTCTCCGGAGAGCTGCCGCTGTGAGCTTGCTGGCCTGCCGCACCACCGAGGTCAGCGCACGGTTCCCCATCTTATTAGAATTGCAAGTAATTTTGGGTCCTTGCATTCGTTCTCTCTTCTGGTCAGATACGAGTAGAAACTGGCAAGTAGCAACGCCCTAGAATTTTGTTGCGTGGCTTGGTTAGCACATATGCTCTCACTTGGTTAGCTCGTACTTAAGGGCATTTGCTCAACTAACCTTTTTCTGATGGGCTTCTATGCACTGGCATTTTCATTTCTTATACCCATTTTATTCAGGCCATATATTGCCATAACAAGCCTTCCTGAAGAGAGACGAACACGGTCTGATGGTCTAGACAAATTAAAATTATGACCTGCCTTCAATTGGCATGCTTCACTGGTCTCACAAAATACTACTCAAATACATCATTACATAAAAGTTAGGCAAATAAACTCGGACGCTTCTTCCCTGACAAGGATGTTACAGTTTTATCATTGGGGCAGCTTGGAACAGAGTGCACCAAGTGAATAAATTGTGTATAAGGCGGTAGCCTTGATTCCCATGAAATTAGCCTAAAATCTCCTTTGGGTAAGACAAGGTGACCTGCTGCTGATATTAAGTCCCCAAACATAATCCTAGGTAGAGCATCTTCCGGAGCATTAGCCATACCGATAGCACAGTCTAGAACGTGCGATGGAGCAGCAGGAGTCAAAATGTTGCCGCCGATTAGGTGCACTGGGTGACCTCGATTCAGAAGCACCTGTGGATGGGCGCCGAAACAAGAAATGTTCGCCTTCACCATATCTCTGACCGCGTTCAACCTGTACATCCAGAAACGGGCACCCAGATTTTTCCTCAGTGCATCTGCAAGCACATTTGCTAATATGAGTGAGCCTCCCAACACCATGACAAACTCTTCCACCATCGCGACTAATCGAGGATAATCTGTCGGGTTCGCACTTCCGAATGCGAGTGTCTTGAACAGGTACCTGAACTCTTCTAATGCCAGACATTTCAGGGATATAGATTTAACAGTTCCAAACTTCTCTAGCTCTACGAATCGACCTACGATCATCACCTTGCTTCCTCTGTCCATGTTCATAAAAAAATTATGGAACATTGTCCAGTCATCTTCATCTATATATGAAACAAACTCAATAACTATCAGTATCCTCCCTGACAATTTTTCATGGTCTGTCATTCTGAATAGTTCATCTCCATTCAGGTGCAAAATCATAGAAAAGTGAGAACGCACCCTCTCATCATTGCATACATGGACCACAAGAGTTTTCTTCCCAACTCCAGCGTCACCAATGATTGGAAGCACGGCCGGAGAACCAGGAGTGTTGTGGTCCAGCAAGAACCTGATGATCTGCTGCCTCTCGACATGGCGACCAAACATGAAGTTATCGATGTAAAGATATGCATCATAGGGTCTACGAGAGATGCGCTCGCATCCCCCCAAAAGCACGACAAACTCCGCCATGTTAGCAACACTAGCCTCTAGGTTCTGCAGCGCACTTTGCAAGTCTGGTTCGAGAACCTTGTTTGTTCCACGAGTACCGATTGTGCGAGAACGTTTGTAAGGAGTAGAAACAGGTAAGGCGGATGCGTCACATACCAATTCCTCAGCAACATCTTTGTGTTTTCCATACTTGATGGTGTCAAGCGCATGGTGGCCTTGGTACATGGCTGCTGCTAGGGTCTTCAGCTGTATGAGCATACAAGAGTTGGTGATGTACCGCGAGTCTGCCTCCTCGACGACCATGCCAACTCTCAGCAAGAGGTGTTGCAGCCTCTCCACCTTCTCCTCCAAGCACGCGTGATCTGCGTACTTGTTCATCAGGAAAGAGATGAAACGGTTCGAGAGATCACCTGCGACAGCGGCTATGACAAGATCCATCTTGAGATGTTCTAAGGTAGGTGGTTTATGAGGGCAAAAAGATGCAGTTTATGTATAGACGCACGGTATTGTCATTGATATACTCTGTATATATTCAACCGATATTCCGGTCAATAAATTCCCATGGTCAGGTACGATGTCTGCGTTCACAGTTGATGTCTGGGACAGGAACCTGTTTTATAGTGACAGGTGAGCGGCTATTTTGCTGCTGTTGGGAGGCCGGTGAGATGGACAGAATTTCTAGTCAACCTTCCTAGCCTACGGCTGCTGCTCCATCACAGGAAAAACAAAGACTATGGCATGAGAGGAAACTTCTGAGCTTTTAGCAAGCTAGATGCAATTCGTCAAGGTCCTGTCCAAACTGCGGTCTGCCTTTTGAAGGTAATACATTCAAGTCGCTATTTTTATTTCCAACTTACTTAGTTTTTAGTTTCTTTTGAAGGCGCGTTTGAGAAAAAAAAAGAGTAATCTTCACTTCCTTTCATTTCCAACTTACTTAGCTTCTTGCCCTTTCTTACCGCCGTTAGTCTAGTGTTATACTACTACTCCTTCCGTCATAAAATAAGTGTCTCAATCTTAGTAGAGTTAGTACAAAGTTGAGGCACTTATTTTGGGACGGAGTGAGTATTAGTAAAGGCAATGGAATTTTTGTTGCCTGACTTAGTTAACTGGTTATTAAGAGCATTTGGTTGGCCGAGGCAACCTTTTCTGATGGACTTTTGTCCCCTTGTATATCCATTTCTTAAACCTATTTTATGTAGACCATGTTGCCAAAACAACCCTTTCTGAAGTATGAGTGTATGACCCTCCTCACCATGCTCATCGATGGCAGCTGTTGCATCGGAAAAGTTTGCTGGACAAGGAGTTCCCCGGTTCGTCCATACTACAGACTTGCTCTTCCAGGAGTCAGGACTCAGGACTAGTCTATATCCACGTGAAACACCCCAAGTTATGAGTGAATTAATTCACACCACAAATGGCAATGAAAAGTCTCTATGTGCAACACCCCAGCCATTGGCGTGCAAGGCCATTCAACAAGACCAGGAGTCTGCAATTCCCACATGTTTCCTGCCATCTCTTGGACCGCAAGAGCTATATCTCGCTTATAGCGAGACAATAGCTGCTCTTGCCTGAAGGAATTTTTCTCTTGTGAACGAATCGAACCAGCCCATTTTCCTCTCCTCCCTCGCAATATCGCTGCTCGTTGGATCTGTCAATGCTCACTCGCTCGTTCAGTCTGTTTTTGTTTTATTTTTATTTTTTGTTTTCTTTTCTTCTTCATTACTTTTTTTGGTTTTCTGTTTTTATTTATTTTTCATTGTTTCTATTTTTTTTACATGGTTCTTACCAGTTTTCTTTGCTTCTCCATGGATTTTTTTGTTTTTCATCAATTTTCTTTATATATTTCCTTGTTTTCACCAGGTTTTTCTTTTCTTTTTTCTTTTCTTCAGTTTTTTTTCTTTATCGTTCTCTTCGGTTCTTCTTGTTTATATGATTCCTTTTTCATTTTGGCATCAGTTTTTCTGCATTTTCCTGTTTTCTTTTCTGTTTTTCTAGGTTTTCCTTTGTTTCCTCATGAATTTCCACGGTTTTCTTCGGGTTTCCATTTTTCCACGTTTCTGAGGTGTTTCTTTCTTTAGTTTCTTCAGTTTTCACCATTTTTTCTTCATTTTTCTTTATTTCGTTTTTCATCGGGTTTTTTTCTCTCTCTCAGTTTTTACTGTTTTTATACACTTTTTTGTATATATCTAATACACTTTTCTAATACAAGTCATTTCAAAAATAAAGGATCAACAAAATTGAATCATGGTCAACATTTTTTTATACAGATTTAACATTTTTCCAATGCTAGATTATCATTTTTCGAACAAAAGTTTAACATTTTCTTAATACATGGTCAATGTTTTTTATACACGTTTTTAATATTTTTCAAATACAAGATTACAAAATTTTGAATACATGGTCAACATTTTTTATATAGATTTAAACATTTTCAAATGCTTGATTAACATTTTTTAAAATACAAGCATAGTCAACATTTTTTCTCTACATATTTAACATTTTTCAGATAAAAAGAATTTTTTTGAATATACATGGGTAACAACTTTTCTATACACGTTTAACTTTTCTTAAATGCCTGGTTAATATTTTTCAAATAGTCTTAAAAAATCAAATGCTTGATTTACATTTTTAAATAAATGGTCAAATTTTTTCGCACGAATGAGAAAAAAAAAGAGACATAGCGCGCCTGGGCCAGCCCATTTAGGGGAGGACGCATCTGGTGCAACGGACGTTCTTGTGCTACCGGGCTCCAATGTCAAACTAGTAGACTGCCCGTGCATTGCCACGCGCTTTTTAAAATTTGTACTTGTTGCATATATAAACACGATGCATGTCAAATTTAACATCAGTAATAAATGAAAAATAGTTGAAATCCGTTCCACTTGCAATAATTTCGATAAAAATGTAATTCAGTGACTTGTACTATCAGATCTGATGCACAAAGCAGAAAAGGTGGTAAAAAAATATACGACTCTTTATCGTACACTGCATTGTAATTGACAAATAGCACTTGATGTCTTTTTAAGCTTAAGATCGATGGTCTCACAAAGCATGTCCATTGTTATTGTCCATTAACTGAAGACTACACATGGAGGTTTTTGTTCCCTCAAAACAAATGTTTCCAAGATACTACAACCATTGACTTGATTGCATTATGCAATTGCATGGCAAAATATTACATATGAAAAGGCACTTGGAGGTGACCATTTAGGAACTATTGCGAAAAAACACATATTTTGTACCATTTAGGAACCATGGGTGCATAAAATATTTCAACCCTTCCCCATCTAATATTCATAGCTAAAAAAACACATATTACATATGAAATTAAGGCCGTTGTCCCTCATAGGTCGTCGACCTAATCTACCGTGCAGGTGGGATAGGGTACCTCTCATTCCTGTAAATTCCTCTAGCTCTAGGCCATTGTTCCTGCATGCCATTTTATTTTAGGCTCAAGGACCTCTAGCTCTAGGGCACCATGCTACAAGAGATGCAAAGAATATGCTCTTTAGTTTTGAGAAAGTGTGAAATTATCTAGGGAGACTTAGTAAGTTGTTTTTTGTCATAGTGTTACTCCAATAAAAGTCAACCTATATGGTGTATAAGGCAAAATATCGTATGAAAATGGGATATCACAAGCTGATGTTCTTTGATAGTAGATGGTAACACTATTGCGTGTAAATTTGGGCCTCTGTGTACTCTGGACTTGAGGGATGATGGATTGATGATACGATGTTTTGAGCAGCATTTTCAGGAAAAGGCCAAACCTTTTTTTAGCATCTCTAATATAAATGCCCTCAATAAAAAATGTCAGATTTAATAGGTGATAAGGCAAGTCTGCAATAATAACATCCTATGCTCAAAAAGAAAAAATAACATCTTAACAAGCTTCAACATTGCACACGCAACTTCTGTTTCTATTAAAATAAGTTATATAGAGATGATACCAATATGACATAGAACGCTAAAGCAGAGCTCTTAAAAGTAAATAAATAAAAGGGAAGGGGAATGCGATATGCTTAAATAAGGGTTGAAATAACAAAAATAGTATTCATGATTGTATTATGTGGTTGCAGATATAGGGGAAAAAACTTTCTGACTGAAAATCTAAGCTGATCTGACTTAGCTCACTGCTCCAAAATGTAAGTATGCCATGCCTTTGTTGAACCCCCACTATGTTTGCAAGGCGTAGAGTCAAGCAAACTCCAAAAAAAAAAAAACAAGAACGGTCCATGCAACCATCTGAAACATGGAGAGGACGTTATATATTCTAATATGAAATAATTGCAACATTAATTAGTAAGACAATAAAATGTATCAAAGGGATAAGAGAACACTTTCATGGATTGGTCTGAAGTGTTGGTATGCAAGCTCAGTTATCAATATAGTAACGCATCAGCTGCATTAGTTGAAAATTCTTGTAGCGAAATGAAACATCCGAACTTAGAGCATCTCTAGCCATTGTTGAGGAAATCGTTAACTGGTAGCTGCTCGGTTGGCTGGTGAGTAGGCGATTAATATGCTAATCGGCAAGTTAATTAGCCATTTAATCAATTAATCGGATGATTTATCGGTTTATAGGCTACTCGGTGACCCTATGAGTAGGGATTAATCGGCAAGTTAACTGGTTAATCGGATGAATTCTTGAACAGGGTCTCTAGCAGACCACGTATAAGTGGTCAAACCCGCATAATTTTTGCGTTTTACAGCCTTGGTCGAAAAAAATGTCCAGAACAGAACCGTAAAAGTGGTCCAATCCGTAAATTTTTTAGGGCCACCGAAAATGCACACCCAAAACCCTTATATTTGGAGGTTGAAAGACCGAACCTAAGGGGCCCCGTATACCGGTCAAACCTCGTCGAAGCAAACACGCCGCCGCGGAGTTTGCCAGAATCCGCCCTAAACTCGTCGGAATTCATCACCGCACACCGGAAAAGGCCGCTAGACGCCGCAATCGATCGCCGCCGGTTCAAATTGGACGAGCTCGACATCGTTGTGGCCTCCCATGGCCTCAGTCTGGCCGCCGGAATCCTCCCAGCGCTGCAGGCAAAGGGGCACGGGTCGGCCGGCGCGGCTGGCAATAGAGCAAGGCGTGGACGGCGGAGGCGACGGGGCGTGGCCGGCGAGGCTAGGCGCGGCTGGCGTGTTGGCGGGGCACAGCCGACAAGCGACGGGGCGCGGCCGACGGCCGACGGGGCACAGCTGGCGGGCGACAGGGCGCGGCCGACGGGGTTGGGCGCGACCGGCGTGGCCGGTTGGGGGAAGGGGCGGCAGCGGTCAGACTTGAGGAAGGAGCTTTTTATCCTACTTTTACAGTTTGTTTTACGGTATCTGTTCGGCCATGGCTAAAATGAATCCTTAAAATGCATTATTTTTCCCACCTGTATTTCAATTTTACAGTTTGCGATTTTAAGGGGTCTGCTAGAGATGCTCTAAGG